GTTTTGGAGGCTGTCGGTCCAGCCTGGCCTCGAACTCACAGAGATCTGCCTGCCTCTGCCTCCCAAGTGTTGGGATTAAAGGCGTGCGCCACCACCGCCCGGCTGAGTTGCTTTTTAGAGTTTATCAGGTACGTCTGACCATTTAAGCTTTTCTGGGATGAGATAAACCTTCCCTTGGAACTTAGCATGGGGTAGTGCCGCTGCAGAAAATGCATTTATGTCTAAGCTAACTGTGGCGGCTTACATCTGTAACCCCCATACTGGGAGGCTGGGACATGAGGGATATTGTGAGTTTGAATCTAGCTGAGCCTATACAGTGAGTTCCAGCTGGCATGGACTACAGAGTGAGAGCCAATCTTCAGGGGGAGGAGATGGAAATATATCTGTATCATATACACTTACTAGTGACAACTGCAATATTTTAAACCTTTAACACATTCTTCAAGATTTATTTTTGTTTTTATGGGCGCCAGTATTTTGCCTGCCTGTATGTCTATGTATCATATGCCTGCAGTGCCCACAGAGGCCAGAAGAGGGCGTCAAATCCTCTGGAAATAGAGTTACAGACAGTTGTACCCAACCATGTTGGGAACCAAACCTGGGTCAGAGCAGCCAGTGCTCTTAACTGATGAACCACTTCTCCAGGCCCTGTGCTGTGTTGTTAAATGTATGAAAGAGGTTGTGAGATGTCTTCATTGTGTAAGAAAAGTTCTGTTAATACACTTAAACTTTAATGTACTCTTGAATGACTCAGGTTTAATCCCTTCTTATTATCCTTACATCTCTTGTTAATATTATCTTTATGATCTATTTTGAACTTCTTGATATTATCTTTATTACCTTTTATGACATTGTTAAATGCAATTTTCACAAACATACATGAATGGATTTTCCATTGGCCCATTAAAATGTTTCAAATTGGATTTTTCCCAATACAAGCCCTTTCAAGGTTTTAGAAAAATATAGGAAAACAGAAAAATCTATTTTCTATATCCCAAAACAAACACTACAGCTATTTTCCTCAGTCTTTATGTGTATACAATTTTTGCATAGTGAAAATCTGACTTTGTAATTTTATATATTTACAGATTCAACATTTTAGCAGCAGAATTTTACATGGGTTTTTATATGTGATGATTGTGTACACAAAGAGAACAATTTTTAAAAATATTTACTTCATTCTTACGTGTGTGCGCGCACGCACGCGCCTGGGTTTATGTGCCCAGGGAAGCCAGAAGAGGGCGTCAGATGCTCTGGAATTGGAATTAGAGGTGGTTGTGAGATGCCCGATGTGGGTCCTCAGAACCAAATCCGGGTCCTCTGGAATAGCAGTAAGTGCTGTTCACTAGGAAGTCATCTCTGCAGCTCCTAGAGGGGTGGAGACTAACTCAAGAAGAGAGACGACCTCCCAAGAGGTGCCAACAGTAAGTGCTTGAGTTCCGGGAGGCCTGGTCATGATGCCCCTCATGGACTGCACAGGCACGCAGGCTGTCTTCTGTGATGACTCTAGGTGTCCACGAGGTAGCATCTTGCCCCCAGTGCAGACCTGTCACCACATTAAATCCACCAGGGTCCCAAGGAAGCTCCTACCAGGACACTAAGATGTCTCTCTGGGAATCACTGTAAGTTGAAGGGCCAGGTTATGAGGAATGGGAAACTTCAATCTCTACAAAGTAGAGAAAATCCAGATGAGTGGTGCCATCGCCAAGTCTTGCTTTTCTTTTTCTCCCAACTGGATGTAAAATAAGCAATTGACTTTGAGCTCATGGCTTAAACACCTGTTGTCTGGGCTGGAGAGACGGCTCAGCAGTTAGGGCTGTGAGCTGCTCTTACAGAACACAGCTACCTCAGGCAACTGACCACTGCTTGTGACTCCAGCCCTGTGGGGACCGGATGCCCTCTTCTGGCCTGTGCCCTTACATCTGTGGCGCACGCCCCCAACAGACACATGATTAAAAATTTATAAACAAAAAAAAATTTATAAACAAAAGCAAAACCGGGTCTTCGGTGGTCTTGGTGAGAACCTGTAGAGATGTGGAAGTTGAGACCCAGGGGGCTTCTGTGGTTGGACAAGGTCCATGTCAGGGGACAAGTGACAGCTTTGGAGCCCTGTCTGGGGGTCTGGCACTTCCACTTTCGTTGCAAGCTTTCCCCTCCTGTCCCGCAGGCACACAGTGTTAAAGCACAGCTATCGTGGAGTTGGAAGACACTTGAATGCAACAGAATGGATGGGCTTATTACAAAATCCTCCTAATTCCTCAGTCAACTGCTCGGAGCCCATTTGTGTCCTCCGTCGAGGGGGTTTCAGCCTTAGCCGGCAGGTGCTGAGCATTCAGAGCGAAAAGCACGCAGGCCTGGGAGGTGGCTTTAGCGCTCATAATGGCCACAGGTGCTCTGCCTTCACCCCTTCACACTCTACCAGACGACAAAGGCCCGATGACGACAGCCGACTCGCCTTTCTGAGGCTCTGCAAGACAAGAGGGATTTGCTGCTGGAGGCAACTTGCATTTTCTTGTCTGTCTTTCCCTTGGGAAAGTAGAACTCTCAGAAGCGGCTCCACAGCAGATGATTCTGAAAGGTGGTTCAGACTTACATCTGGGAAGGAGAGACTAAAAGAAAAAGAAAAAAAATGCTAGAGTGAAATTCAAAGCCTTCTAACCGAGACGATATGAGATTAGAGTAGGAATTTGTTAGCAGCTAGAGAATATAAGAATGAAACCATATTCTATTAGCTTCTTTGAAAACAAACATGTTTCATCCTGAAAAGAGTGTCCTTTGACATTCAACATCATTAAAGGTGAATATGTCCCCACGTGGGGGGCTAATAGACCCTGTCATGAGTCTTTCCTTTCTCTGAGTCTTTAGAATTTCCTGAAAGACAGCCTCCGTTTCCTCATCTAAAAGACACCAAGTTTGAACACATGATGCTGAGGATCTTTCTAGCATAGTCGTTGTGGATGCGTCAGTCAAGGCCTGGCCCTTGGCTCTCCCATTGCACAAGGAGCACATTTTCACTGCTGAGGCCGTCAAGAGGCTAGCCACACATGGCTTCTTCTTGCACACAGTGCCTTCGCCGTAGGTGAGCGGCAAGGGTCCCGCATTGCTTGGCCTCGAAGAGCCACAAGGTTGTAAACAGAGACAGGGATGCAAGCATTGGAGCCCTGCCGTGGGTACAGGTGGCTGATGGCTGGAGCAGGCCGTCTTGTCTTTTACACTGATGTCACCGTGGTTGACATGCCCCATGAGGCCTCATGTGAGCTCAGGCCCTTCATGGTGGACTCCATGGGTTAGCTCTTTGCTGCAGTGCCTGAGAGAGATGCACGCCCTTGCCCTTGAAGGCTCGTGCCTGTCTGCTGGTGGCATCTTGTCTAAGTGCTGTGGGAACCATGTTTACACCACATCAATAAAGCAGCCTTTTGTGCCACTACAGAAGTAAGCATTGTGGGGGTGGGGGGTGCATATGTGCCTGAGCTGTAAAGTCACGACCCCTGGCCCTCTCCCACAGCGAGCCTTTGACAGGCACACGTTTTGTCTGAAGTGTGAACACTCCAGAGTCAGCTATACCATGGGGCCTTCCATGTGAGGGGTAGGGCATTCAGACTCACTCAGAAACTCCAGGATTCTTCTCTGCGAGCCTCGGCTGTAAAATGAAGGTCACACTACTTTTCTCCCCTGCTCAGAGTTCTCCAGGATGTGGTGAGGGAAGAACAGGGACCAGCTCCCAAACTCTGAGCTGTGCTTTACACACGAGGAGGCCGTTTTAGAGACGGTGAGCTGCAGGCCCAAGCGACCCCGGCAAACAGGCTGCACTAGACGGGAGGCCTGGCCGGAAGACCCACCAGGCTAGTGACACACGTGTGACAGACCACAGCATGCCATGGAAACCTCACCGTCTTAGAAAAACGGCTATAGGCTTTAATCTATCTGATAGCTTCATTTTTAAAATTGTATCCAGAGTGGAATACTTCGAGAGGTTCTGTTTGTCAGCCTTTAAAAGCAGGGCTGGTGTGCTTGAATTATCCCTGGTGGCCTCTGGTCCTAATCTCCTGGCTACCAGCTGCTGTGACAGCGCTGACTTCGCCCACCCCTGCGCCTCTTAATCAGGAATGCAGGGAATTAGTGAGTTCGTAAGGCCACTTGACCTTCTTTGGGGTGACATGCTGATGGGGACGACTGTGGGACTCCTTTTATTGGCAAATGATTCTTACCTGGGCTGGGTAAACATTCTTTAAGCTACACATCACTCTCCGATGTTTGTCTCCCTGGCTTCATTCTTGCCAGGTTGTATAAACTAGAAAACAACCCAGGAGGCTTCCCACCCACGTTCGCTATGATCTGGAATCCTATCACGAAAACCAAAACAACAGGATATGCTCTTAATGGCTGAAAGAAAGTCCAAAGCCTTCCTCTAAGACCAGTAAAGCTACCCGACACTGTACAGCCCTTCCCTTCAACCTAGAGAACCAAGGCGGAGAAATCATTAAAAAGAATTAAACATAATTAAACTAGGCTCGATGGGTAAAGCACTTGCCCTGAAAGCCTAAGGACCTGCGTGCAAAACTTCAGAGTCCAAGTGTGGTAGAGTGTGCATCCGTCACCCTAACACTCCTGCAGGGAAATGGGGAGCAGAGACTGAAGAGGGGAGCAGGTGGCTGGAGGGCCAGCTAGCCTGGTGCATGTAACACCCAGCGAGAGCCTGCCCCAACCAAGGTGGAGGGCTAGGACCAACACCCGATGTTGTCCTCTCCTCCTCTGCATATACCTTGCAGCACGCACACACAAGCACTTGTGCAATCTAATATATGAGTGTGTGTGTGTGTGTGTGTGTGTGTGTGTGTGTGTGTGTGTGTGTGGTTTTTCAAGACAGAGTTTCCCTCTGTGATAGTCTTGGCTGTCCTGGAACTCACTCTGCAGACCAGGCTGAAATCAAACTCAGTGAGATCCGCTTGCCTCTGCCTCTTGAGTGTTGAGATTAAAAGGCGTGCAGAACCAGACCAGGCCACATATGTGATTTTTTAATGGAATTAAAATTAAAATTAAAAATAGTGAAACTCAGTCAGGCTAAAAGAATCGAACAGCTGTCACCCAGCGCCAGTGAGGTGGTAGAGGCTGAAATGGACTTGAGAGAGGTCCCCCAGTGTTCGCACGCTCCCGAATGGTCCAGATGCTTTTGCTCCTGCAGTATGCTCAGCCCAGATGACCACGCACTGAGAGGACATCACTCGGGTCAGCTGCTGACCCCTTCCATGCAGCAGCCAGCCTGACTTGGTTACACCTAAGTCCCTGGCTGCTCCCCACCACTGATAACAGCCGAGGCTTACAAGGATGTCAATGCTGCAGCTGTTGGAAAACAAAGCCTCCAGTCAGGAGTTTTGATCAATGAGAAAATTCCTACTGGCTTCCTCCTAGTTCTTGCAGTAACAGACACTGACAAACTGCTCTCCTCGGAGTGTGGGATGAAGTCTTACTGCCTTCTCTTTCCTTCTGTTGGGTCAGGCCTTGAACTCTGTAGATAACTCAGGCTGGCTTCAAACTCTGTGTAGCCCAGGTTAACCCAAAAGCACACTGTTCCTGCTGAAACCTCAGTTGAGTGCCACGTGTCCTGGAGCCTGGCACGTGGCTTCTGAAGTACTCTGTAAGAGAAGAAGAGACGCATCAACTTCATTCCAATTGAGGCACAGCACCGTCAGTGTCAGGAAGACGAGGGTGGCGTTGAATAGAAACAGCAGCTCTGATTGGAGGGAAATAGTGAGAGTTTCATGGAGAAGACAGCTGGTCAGGAGGTTCTGAGGGATGGAGAACAGGTGAGACACTTCCGTTTGGAGAAACGTGTAAGTATTGAGAAATAAAGAGGCGAGAGAAGAGAACACTTGGCTGTGTCACACCTTGGGGACCTAGGGTGCCAGGCTTGGAAGGTGGTCTTCACTGTGTGTTGAGGATCCTTGAAAGTATCTTAGCAGGGAGTGATGTCATCAGAGGGAATGATGTCATCAGTGACCGTGGAGCCCTTAGAGTTGTGTGACATTGTTAGAGCAGAGAGACGTAATGACATAATGGCTTTAGGAAAAGAATCCTAATGGGTTTGGGGACAGTGGAGTAGAGTGAGGCTTGGAGCAGCTCAGGCTTGTGGGTGGGAGAGGAATTCTAGGGGGGTGAAGTAGGGGACTGAAGGGAGAACTCGTCTCTCCCCAAGTGGGCCTTAGCTGTGACTCTACAGAGCTGGCCTTGGGGCAGCAGAGTCCCTGACTGCAGTGTTACAACCAGAGGGCGTCGCAGCTCCCAAGACCAACCAGTCTGCTCAGGGGTTCCATCCCCTGCTCAACACTCACGGGTGCTCAGGGGCCACATTGGACTAGCTTAAGAATTGTCTGTGAAAGAGGGGGAGGGGCAGTAGTCAAAAGGGTTCTGAGGGATAAATTAAAAGCACATATAAAGACGTCAGCACAGCACTGGGCCAGGACAGGTGTCTAGCGCATCTGAGTGGAGAGGGACAGCCAGAAGGGCCCCTCCCCTGAGTCCTGGGGAGTGAGCTCCCCATCTGGCTCCAGGAAGAGAGCCGGTCCTCAGGCTGTCCTGTGTGCAGTCACTGCCTTGGCTCTGGTCAGCACTCCGCAGCCTTCTGGACTGCTTGCTTGTCTTAGCTGACTGACTGGATCAAAGGGAATGCTCTTGGTCACAAAGAACCCCGCTTCCTCCGGGGCGGGAACGGACTCTCCTGTCCCTGCTGCCGTCCTACCCTTCCAGAGCCAATGCTCTTCCTCCCCCTTTCATTCACTTGCTTTTCATTTATTTATCTATCTATCTATCTATTTATATGAGTGTACTGCCTGTATCTGTATGTGTGTCCAGTGCCCATGGAGGTCAGAAGACAGCATCAGATCTCATGGGATGGAATTACAGACAGACAGTTGTGAGATGTCATGTGGGTCCCGGGAATTGAACCCAGGTCCTCTGCAAGAACAGCCGAACCTTCTCTCCAGGCTTTCTCTTCCAGGCTGCACTCAGCGTGCTGAGCTTGTAGCCCATGCCTGTGCCTGTTTCTGGGACACGGTGGTGTGGCTGAGGCTGTCCCCACTTCTCCCAACCTGGGCCAGGGAAATGACACTTTCTTCTGGAATTAAAAAAGACAGCCACCCAGTTGTCTCTATGGTGAAATGTGGGCATAGGTCACTGTAGCATCCTCTGATGATATCAAACAAGTATAAAAGAGGCTATAATGTGGGTTTCTTTGTAGCCGTGGCTTAGATTCACCAATCCTTACCACTTTGACCATTCCTCTTCATTTTCTCTATGCAATATCAAAACCACTTGAGCTGTAACATCTTGTCTGCCAGTGTCTTCACATACACACACACACACACACACACACACACACACACACACACACACACACCACCCTCATTATATAGACACAATCTAGGGACCAACATCAAGAAAAGCAACAACTGGGACCCGGAAGATGTCTCGGGGATAAAGGAACTTGCCTGCAAGCGTGGCGGCCTGAGCTTGACTCCTGGGACCCTCGTGGTGGGAGGAAGGAACTCCATATGTGCACTGTGGCGGCATGCCCCACCTTAGGTAAATAAATATAATTTCAAAACTTAAAGAGGTAACAACAAAAAAAATACTTCTAATCGACCTATCATGTGTATTCCAAAGGTTTCCTGGTAGCATCCCTTCCAGCCCCTTGCCCTCAGCCACAAAAGCCAATCCAGGATAAAGATTGCACCCCATTGCACAATGTTTTACTCCCCTTTAAAACAATTCTTTCAGATGTTCATCTTTCTCCAGCATTGACATTTTTAGGCAGCACAGGTGATTTTTAGGAAAAGACAATTTGACACAAGGTCTTGCCCAGGCTGGCCTAGAACTCCTGTGGTGCTGCGATTCCTCTGCTGGCTTCTGCCATCTCCTCATCCATTGGATTCAGGTTTTACAGTCCTAAGTCGGTTTACAAGTGAGGTGTGTCCTCTCAGGGTGTGCTAATGCTCATCAGCAGGGGCGTGGTGTCCACCCCCCCCATCGGTGAGATCCAGCCTTGGCACTGCCGGGCTTTCTTTGATCCCCTCATAACAATCATCCGACACTCTCAGGTCACGTGAGCGTCTTGCCAGGCTCATCGTGTAAAAGACACACGTGAATGGAAACAGGCCTGGGAGGTCAGTGCAGGTAGCTATGCACCAGTAGTTATGAAAATCAGGGGGGAATAATTACTCTGAGTTTACAGCCCAGGAACAAATACCCAAATAGATTGAAAAGAGAAATGCTAACAGACTAAAAGCTAGCCTTGGAGCCATGAGGGGAAAAACATATTGCTCCTATTTTTCTGTACATCCCGGATTTTACGTGCCAAGAATATATTTTTATGATAGGGAAAGTTACTTTAAAAATAGGTTTCCTTTTAAAAAAAAGATTTATTTTATGCATGAGTGAGTGCTATCTGCATGTACACCTTTGTGCCAGAAGAGGGCATCAGATCCCATTAGAGATGGTTGTGAGCCACCGTGTGGGTGCTGGGAACTGAACTCATGACCCTTGCAGGATCAGTCAGGGCTCTTAACGAGCCATTTCTCCAGCCCCAGGTTTTGTTTTTAACAGAGTGAAATGGGGGTTTATACTCTCTTCCCAAATTGATGATGCAACAACGCCATGTGTGTGGAAATGGTTTAAACTTTACAGGCAAAGCTAAATGATTCCATTATTATTTTTTAAATATTTGCTTTATTTGTTTATTTCATGGGGGGGGCATGCTTGTGTGTGGGTATGTGCCTGTGCCGTGACTCATGTGTGGAGGTCAGAGGGTAATTTGCAGGAGTGGATTCTCTCCTTCCACCATGTGGGTCCCAGAGATTGAGCTGAGGCCATCAGGTTTGGTGGCAGGAGCCATCCTGCTGGGACATAAGTGATTTTCTTAAAGACCTTCTGAAAACAGGGCTGTTTCATGTTAGATTGGCAGTCCAGGCTGGCTTCAAACTCTACGTGTAGCTGAGAATGACCTGGATCTTCTGATCTTCCTGCCTCCATCTCCAAGCTCTGGGGTAACAGGTGTGTACCGCCAGCTTGGGTTTATTTTTAAGTGAGTGGCCAGTCAGGGTAGCTTTTGAGCCTGAGCAAAGATGTGCCCAGGGGTCTGAGCAAGCCCACATGGAGTCCACCGTGAGGCCGGTGCCACTCCACAGCTGCGTGTTGATTCAAGGTCCCTAAAGGTCCCTAGGGAGGAGAAGTCTAGTAAAAGTGGCGCATTTGGCAGTGCTCCCAGGAGCCTGGAGATGGGTGAATAGGATGGCGAGGTAAGGAGGCCCTTGGGGTTACCCTAGCGAACTGCTCGGCCACCCAGGAGCAACAGTGGGTAAGTTCCACCTGGGAGCTCTGTGAAGTCACATTCTTAGGTTGTCCGTGTCAAGAGCAAGAATCTGGAGACTACAGTCAGTCACTGGAGGGTATGAGGAACCTTCCAGGTCCTTCCGCAGCCTGTACTCCAGCACTGTTGAGCCTGCAGACAAGCCCCCAATATTAAGGAATCTGAAGGGGATGTGGGCAAACAGAGGCATCAGCCCAAAGAAGGGGCTGACTCCTAAGGCTGGGAGAGCCAGTGTCAACACAGAGCAGGCTCTGCCAGGAGCCACAGCAAGACTCACGGAGACTTTGCTATAGAGGTTCAGCGACTACCCAGGGCCACACTAGCAGCCGAGTCTGTTTTCCAGCCCGTCTGACTCAAACCCACACTCCCATCACAGAGCTGTGCTAGCGTGCCACCTGGGACTAGGCGCCTCGTCTGTGAAGGGCCACCCATGAAGAATCCCTCAAGCACCACAGTGTCTTACGGAGCCCATCTGTCTTCAGAAATCTCAGACTCCCTCTGGGTGTCATCAGAATGGCCATAATGGTCACTTCCTCTTTAATTTGCCCGTAACAAGGCATCCCAATAGATTGAATCATGACCTTATGAACTACAGTGAGGAACGCCTCTGTCTCAGCCGCAGGGTGGCCCAGCTACTTGCTGGTTACAAAGGCGGTATGAGTGATTTGAGGAGAGTCCCTTAGATAAACAGGTACATCCCAAACAAAAGGCCCTGTGAGCTCATCTGCTCCTTTATTGTTCCTAAAGGAAATTTCCCCATATCCTGCATCTTGAACATGAGCAAACATGTAAGGGAGCCAAACTCAGGAGCCCGAGTCACGCAGACCTCACATGCAGCTGGGCACCGGTGTCCCAGCCTGGATGCAGCTGGGCAGCCATGTCCCAATCCCAGTCAATGGCTGTTCCGGCCTAGCGGTGGGGTTTGGGTAAGATCCAGAGTCTTTTAAGATCTGCTCAAACTCACGGGTAAAACTGCAATGCCAAGCCTGTCCCGCAATGGCTGTGGGGGTCAGCGACGCATCTAAAGGACACGGCACGAGGTCAAGTCTGACGCTGTGTAAGTGTATTGTCATCTACATTGGTGGGTGACTTCAATAAAGCCACATGTGGTCACCCTTGCTTCTTAGGATAATTGATCCAACATCTTGGGACATTCCAAGTGAAGAGCCTTTGGGAAGCTGTGAGCCATAGTATGAACCCCCCTTACAATGAAGCCCAGCGTTTGTGTTGGGGGGCTAGTGTAGGGATGGGGGTGCAGTGTGGGGTGTGGGGGGTGCAAAGGCAGGGTATTGGGAGGTTGGAGAGTGGGAAGGTGTCCCAGGCCATCTAATAAGCTTAGTGACACTTCCTGTCTTCTCAGGATAGATGCAAACAAAGACTCAGGAGTTGGCCCACTGACCCCAGCAGAGAGAAGAATTTAACAACCTGACGGGGAAAGCTTCTCAAAGAGTAAAAGTGACAGCTGTCCTCACTCAAAACACTCAAGGCCAAAGGCCTCGGCATCCCAGTAGTTCCTGGGCTGGTAGTCACTCATGATCTGATTCTGTGCTTAAGGGGACACACAGGAGAAAAATTTGACAGCAAAATGTCCAACAGCACTAGTCACTGAGACAAAAACCATGCTGTTTAAATGACTTCATAGTTTCTGAATTGAAAACTCTATTGGCCGTGACATAGCATGAGTGAGTCCAGAAAACCAAAAACGGTATGTGGCAAAGAAAAGATACAATGAATTTGAGTTAGTCAGAGTAGAAACCATCTATACTGTAATAGAAAAAACAAAGCTAGGGGAAAGTAGAAATTTTCTTCTGGCACATTCCATGAGAAGCCAAGAGACATCACGTATAGGGCAAATTCAAGAGCCTACATTTGCAGCCTAAGAAAGACTACCGAGAGCATCTCAGGGCTGTCCTTCCCATCCTGTTTTCCTAAGCACCTTGATGATGGGGACTGAGGCTCAATGGCTGCTCTCACTGTCGAGAATCTGTCCCTGTCCCAGAGCATGGGGTCATGGAGATGCTTGGGTGCAGGGTGGAGAGGGCTTCAGTACACACCTATACAAGAGAATGTGCTTGGTACCGAGCCCCAAGACACTTCGGCTCCTAGCTGGAGCCCCTCACACGAGCCTGAAGGGAAGCTGCAGTCAGTCAAAGGCTGAAGTGAGCAAGCAGTGTGTGGCCTGGGATCTTGAGGCGGGGCAGGGGCACAACCTTCTCCTCCGGAGGGTTTTAAGCCTAGAGGGTTGGTTGCTGATACTGACTCTGATACTGAACACAATGCGGCTCAGTGAGTAGAGACACAGGGGCCTGAAAACCTGAGTTGGACGCTTGGATCCCACACGGTGGCCAGAGAGAACCCAGTTCAGAGAACTGCCCTATAATCTCACCCTATGTACTGTGGGATACGGGAGTGTTAGTGTACACACACACACACACACACACACACACACACACTTGCTCTAGATAAATAATTACATGAATAAGTTAATAAACAAAAATGCAACCCTAGGCTACTGAATGAGTTCAAGGCCAACCTGGACTACATGAGATCCTGTCTCAAAATAATAATAATAAAAAACCTACATTTACAACTCACTAAATGCTATTTGAAGCAATGGCAATGCTGGAAACTCATCAAGTCTGGATACCTTTGCTGCATTTTATTATCGTCTCTGATCTTGACACACCCCTCTGTGCTGTGGGAAGATTCTAGGATGACACACCCTGTGTCTCTCCACCCACCCCCAGTGAAAAAGTGGCCATTGTGGCTACAAAGTCCATGCTTCAGTACTTGATCTACTGTCTCATTGACCAGCCATGGCTCAGAGTGGAAATGAAAACACTCACAATGCACATTAAAGTTTAAGTTCTCAAGCTACGTAGAATCAGTTTCTCAAGAAAACCGAGGCAGGAGGATCCCTTGAGCCCAGAGTTCAAATCCAGCCCTCCCCCTCCCCTGCTCCTCCCTCCACCCTTCTCTCTGTTTTCTTTTGTATTGTTGAGACAGAGTCTCATACTGTGCTAAGCTCAGAACTCACAGCAATCCTCCTGCCTTGGCCTCCCATGTGCACGGTTACAGGCATGAGCCTAGCCTTCGAAATGCCATCTTTAGGGGGGTAACATCATGTTTATAGCTTTTATAACTGCGAACAGCACAGAAGATGAACTTGTAGCATTTAAAACCATTGTCTGATTTAGCAAAACCTTATTTCT